TAACAACCTTAACAAATATGAAAGAAACGCTTCTGTACATTTTAAATTCTCTTTTGGTGCATGCTCCCAATAGAAGGCCATACGACAGAAACACCAACTTCGACAAGATCAATGAAAGGTATAACCTGTTTATGCAGGCTGACATAAAAAACTCGCGTGTAATTCTGCATATTATACCCAACATACGGAAGGAGGCATTTACAATGCTATTGACGTGCGTGCCGAATGACGCAGAGTCTATATAAACTCCAAGATCACGGGTGCACATGACTTTTTTCAACGAGGCATTGCCAAGCTGGTAACAAATATTAATAGGCTTTAGGTTTCTGAGAAAGACGTAGCAACAGTCCTAGTATGATTAACCGTCAACATGTTCAGACTGCACCAATCATGTACTTATACATATGCGTAAAAAAATAAAATGTACCACGACCTTCTTAAGTGCAGGGACCAAGATCTTCTTGCTGCATTCAAGAAATATAGAAACAACTAACCTATGATTTCAAAAATGCCAAAAAAGAAAACTACAAACACCTGCTTTATCTCGTCCAGAGGGACCCTAAAAAAATATGGGAAGCCTTAAACACCATAAGAAATGAGCATTGCCATTCCCGGGATATAAATCACGTGACTATGAATGGGAATCATTTGAGTGGTATAGAGTATTGAGTGGTATAACTATATTACTCAATGAGCGAGTGTTTCGTAAATGTTGGTGTACCTTTAGAAACCGAAAATGAGCCCTCACACGGGGGTGTGTTTAACACGCATTCCATAGCCAATTCGATAATGTTATCGCCAACCACCCCACAAGAAGTAGAAGGACTTATAAATAAGATAAAAAAACAATGTAGCCTCTCGCGTAGCTGGAATAGAACCCGATCCCATTAAATATGTTTTTCAAAATATGAGTAACATCTTATCCCATATAATAAATTGTACCCAAGAATCGGGTATATTCCCAGACCCCCTAAACATTCCGAAAGTTACTGCTGTCTTTAAAGGAGGGAAACCATATCTACAAAATTATAGATCTATATCAGACTTGCCAATATTTTCAAAAATATTTGAGGGAGTAATACAAAGCCGAATATATCAGTTTCTTATTAAGCATGATTTCATAAACAAATCTCAGTCTGGCTTCCAAAAGGGCAAATCATCAGATCAGGCACCTGTTGAGACGAAAGACAAAATAATATACATGGAAAATAAATTATATAGACTGGGAGTTTTTTAGACTTCAAAAAAGCTTTCGACACAATTCAACACCAAATTTTGCTAAATAAACTTCAACTGTACGGAATACGAGGAGTAGCTTTAGCTTTGATAAAACATTATCTAATAAATCGCCTTCAATATTTTGATGTTAACAACTCTGTTCCATCCTCTTTGGAAGTAATATATGGTGTCCCCCAAGTTTCTATCCTAGGCCGCTTGTTGCTCCTCTTTTATATAACTGACATTACTGCTATTCCTAGATCTGCAGAACTGATTATGTACGTCTGTGATACCAACGCATTTTTCGCCTCTTCCTCCAAAGCATCCCTAGAGGAAATGGCAAATAGCTATTTCGCGGAACTGGCAGTGTGGCTCCATAAAAATAAAGTGCAAATAAATTCTAAGAAAACAAATTATATAATTTTCGCTCCAATAAACGAACATGATAATACTCCAATTACTCTATATTTCGAAAACACACTTTAGAGCGAGTCCCCGAACAAAAACTTTTTGGAGTTTGGTTTAACCAGGAGCTTAGCTGGAGATTTCTCAGGCAATTGGATGTTTGTAAAAACAATAATAAACCTGATCACTACATGGTTGAAAAAATATATATTAATATATTTTTTACTCAAAGTTATGCTACTGTATCTTAGTATGGGGGCACAACAATGCTCACATACTACTATAAGATTCTTAAATTACAGAAAAAAATTTTGCGGTTATCTGAAAGTTACTGGGGAAATATGCAAGACCTCCCCACTGAGCCACTTTATAGAAAACATAATATACTCAAGGCTAACCAAGTTTATGATATCAAGTTAATGCAACTAATCAAAACTGAGAAATTTTATGATATAACTACAAGTGACGTTGTGTATAGATACACCTTTTGGCACTCTTTAAGACGACCTCCACAGATTCGAAAAAAATTGCGGAAAGCAAACAAAATATTATCAGGTGACCAAATTATTAAATTAAATTGGAACCTTCGTGGATTTTTATAACTCCTTGTCTAAATTTACTAAAGAGCTGAGGACACTCTTGGTGGGAAGTGTCACCGTTTATAGCCATTTTTATATATGTGCAAATTTATGTTTTTTGTCCCTGAGCTTGTGAAAAAGATTCTTTCATAATCTATACGACTACTTGCGATCCTCTCTTGATGATGTATTATAAAGCCATGACATTGTTTGAATCGCTGATGTATACAGCTGCACGAAGTAGGGTATACTGTGTACCGTATGTACGAACTGCGAAGGGGACAAAGACCTTCGTCAGGCGTTTTCGGCGTTTAGTCTCTGTTCCCCTTTCGTTTGATCCGAAAGAAATAAAACTTCAAATCAAATCAACTCACTTGACATCATCAATAAGATTTGCACAGTCCTCCACAGATAAGATCTTCCTAAAAAACTTTATATCAAGAGCGTATTGCAGTGTTACATTAAAAAGAATCGGTCCAATTATGGACCCTTGAGGAAGACTAGAGAGGGTAGGAAAAGGCCGGGAAAGATTCTAAAGGACACATGCAAAGTCGTGCCTACTGGACAACTAATCCTGTATGAAGGTGCAAAACGCACTAATAACGTACGATTCCAATTTTGGTAAAAGTAGCGAATGATCAACCAAAACAAAATGTAGAGTGACAACCTTTCCGGCGCTGACACTATAAACGAAATAAAAAGAAACACGAAGTTCGTTTTTATTTATCTTTTGCGCAAAAAAACATGTGATGAGGGAAGGATATTATGCTCAAAAAAAGCTTGAAATATGTTCCAACAATACTATTTTGTAGAGTTTTGCGAACGGACATCTCAGCGATATAGGTGTAGAATTTTTTTGGATCTTATGTTTTTCCTTTTTTATATATCGGCACAGCTATATGTATTTTCCATATTGAAGGATTAATGCAGGTCGATAGCAATGGCTCAAGAATATGTGTTAAAATCGGTATGAAAATAGTCGAACACCCTTTAACAATAAAACTCGAAGAACCGTCATATGTACCCGATAAATTAAGTTTGATTTACTTGATGGCTAGTGCGATCTCGGCGTTTTCAGGGAATGAATTTGTGAGGCAATCAACTACCACTGTCAGTAACGTCGGGCACATTACAAACCATTCCGGGTGCAAGAATAAACATAATAAAAGCAGCTCGCAAATGCGTTCGATGCATCTTTAGGTTCGCTAGTCAAAATACCAGAGAGACAGCAAAATTTAGTGTCCATGAAGTCGTGGCTGCATGATCCTTGACCAACGTCCAGAAAAGCGTTGTGTCACGGTGTAAACCATGCTCTACTGACTAACGGTGTACCTTCTTTTCGCGCTGCAACAACGACTTTGCTTGGGCACGTGACTCGGAAAGTTATGTGCAACAGACCGCCGAGTTAGAAACCTTATATTTCCTGTGATCACGCTGTTTACTTCTAAGAAGGGTCCTCAGGTCAATAGAGTACCAGTGAGGATAACGACTTGTTTAAAGACGTTTTTTTTTTTTAGGAACAAAGCATTCAAGTGCAGATATGATACATTTTGTAAACGCTTCTACCGCGCAATTTACATCGTTCGTGTTGTATATGGCTGCCCAGTTCACGTTACCTAAGCTAAATAGGTCAAAACAACAACTCTAATTTTTTTTGTGATTTACGTTTCCCACGGAAAGCTTAAATAAGACAAAAAATTGAACGTGCAAAACTTCGGGAAATTCCGGAGTATTAAGAGTAGACACAGTGTTGTCTATAATAAAGTTAAGCAAAGCAAGATCTAGCACATTTCTTCTATGGATTTGGAGACTGTTCCAGTGGTTAAAATCAAGGAAGTATACAAAAGACAAAAAGGCAATTGTTTTTGGTGAGGCATTACAAGTGGGCAAAACGGATTGTACCAAACTCCAATTTACGTCAAGAATGTTTAAGTACTCTTGTGTACATGTACTATAACGGTCTACATCCAAATTATTTTCCATGATGTCTAAGTGATCAGAAAATCTAGATCCATCGAATTTTGAAGGAAAAGTGAACTACCCATTACAAGACTATTGTTGTTACAGCGAGTTAATTCAGTCCAAACATGTTTGCACTTTGATTCAAGATCAAACGTGCGAACCGCATGCAAGTGATTTTTATCTGTAATAGAAACTCCGCTACCGACGTTAACAACCAAATTTTCATATTCTGTGTCCCGACGGAACACTGTACTCCGGAGAAAAGTAGTCATTCGATTCTAGAGAGCGGGTCAGTCACGTTTTGATTAGGGAATTAATATTGACATAACTTAAGACGACGCTGGTAAATAACATATTGGTGTTTCCGCGTAAACCGCGTACATTTTGATAAAACAGTGAACAATTGATACAATTATCTAATTTTGTCTATCTGTTTCATGATCAACATTACCCTGTACCACAGCAAAAAACACTGAACAAATGATAAAATGATCTAATTTTGTGTATTTGTTTCATGATCAACATTACCCCGTACCACATCAAAAACAGTGAACAATTGAAACAATGATCTAATTTTGTGTATCTGTTTCATGATCAAAATTACCGTGTACCACAGCAAAAAAACAATGAACAATTGATACAATTATCTAATTTTGTGTATCTGTTTTATGATCAACATTGCCCCGTACCACAGCAAAAAACACTGAACAATTGATACAATTATCTAATTTTGTGTATTTGTTTCGCGATCAACATTATCCCGTACCACAGCAAAAAACGGCCTGCATAGAGAACCAATTGGCGAGACATCCGCCACCTTACATAATTTCCACTTACCTGGAACACCTTATCGGCTTTGGGAAACAGCATAGAAAAAGGTCCTTTATCCAGCATGATGTGAATGTCATCGGCGTTCAGAAGTGAGTCCATATCGATTGTCTTTATATCGTCTTTCGTAGTTTTGGTCATTCCGTGGTCGGAAACAATTACAATATTCACCTGCGCAGAAAACGTTTCCAATAAAATCGTATGTTTTCTTTTTTTTTCTCATTTGCTTCAACCTAAGGTTACGAAGGTCCTTAAAATTGAGTAGAAATTGAGCAGAGTTGCATGTCTGAGCATTCATTTACATAGATCGGATTGTCTTCAGTTTTGTACGGACATAAACAATCAAATACTAAATACATAATGCTTTCTCGTGCGGCTGATAAAAACGGTATAGTAGTGGGGTACGGCAAAATATACTTAAACTTGTCCAGACTTCCCCGTAGGGGACTTTTTGCCGCGCACTCCGGTCATAGCTAAAGATCGTAGATAAGAGCTTTCTACAAGTAGCGACATTCTTTGAAGCGCCGGCTGCGCAACGGTGCAGGTTTTAGGAAGCGAATGGCGGTGCAATGCGGAAACTAAACTGAAGGGCGCCATTTTTGTCCAGCGAATTGCGCTTTGTCTATTATATTGGTTCTCGTTACTTGTAAAAAGAAGCATCAAGATACTTTAGTCATTGCAAATATGAAGCACAATTATGATTTCTCAAAATTGAACCTTTTTTTTTTTTGTTTTTAGTTACACTTTGCTATACCCTAATTTGGACCGAACAAGAAGTTATGCCCCGATGGAGCCAGTCAAGCAGCGCCTAAAGTGCATCGTTACGGCGCACGTCGTATTTGTACGTTTGCTATCCCCGGCTGATCCAATCACGCACATTGAATGCCCCGTCCAATGAGCAAACGACGAACACCGCGAAGCAGCACTTTTGGAGCTATTTGATTAGTTCCATTGAATCGTAGCATACGGCTGCCATCGTGCTTAATGTCAAACGGAGTATTCGCGACTCCAGCGACCTATAGCGCACGCCACTATCGTAAAACTATGGCGGTCTAAAACCGGTCGCGCCATACCGTGGATGTTCCAGATAAGCGCACAACGCTGGGGTCTCAGCAAGAAAACAGTTGGCTCAAAAATGTTTGCCCCGATTTTTATCCTCTACGTTTCGAAATTCCGGCGATGTGTTGGCATATGCGGGCTTCCAGAGCCTTGACTTTCTTTGGCGAATCGATAAAGGGACTGCCTACACTGCCCCTCCACGGTGCTGATGAACGTTGATAAACGCGGAATGTCTAATTCACGCGGTTTCGCAGGTAGCGTTCAGAGCAACCTCAGTGTCGAACGGATACTACAGTCACGACAGAGTCACCGGGAAAACTCTTTTATCGCGCCAACCACCGTAAAGTGATCGCGGACGCCACAAGAGATTACCAGAAATTTCGAAAAGACCTGTTCTGACTAGTACAACGTTTTCCCGCTAGGTGATGTCTATTTTTGGAGTCGCAAAGACAAAGACAACAAACGAAATATTGCGATATAATTTCGCCTTAAGGCTTTCGAAGCTTGGGAAGATAGTTTAGCTAGGGGCCAGGTTATAAACAATTAAAAGCGAGCGTGTTGGTTAACAGAAACAAAACTTGAAAGAATAAAACAGGGAGGATAAGGACGGGAGCAGGACATCTTTCCTTTTTCCGTCCTCGTCCTCCTTGTTTTATACTTTCAAGTTTTGTATAAGGTTATAAAATATAATTATTTAAAGAACCACGTGAGGCCCGGTCAACACAGCTTCGTGTTCATTGCATATTTTGCAACTTATATTTCTTTCTTAGTTTAAGCCTTCTGGTGGCGACACGGGTGCGGCTTGCCGCTCTGTTATTTTGCCACACGCATCTCCGAGCAAGGGCGCCCGTGGCCGAATTGTTAAGGTGCTACACTCCCAGGCAAAGGGCCGAGGTTCGATGCCTGAAGGCGGACGCACCTTTTTGTTATTTTTTTGGAAATGTCGCGTTCTGGTGAATTCGAAAATTTTGTTCCTCATGCGATGTCCTAATGTTCTAAGCACCCAGCCTACTACGCCGATTGTAATAGAAGCCTGCGCGTGTACATAAGGGGCTTCGCGTGGCGAGCCGAAGTCAGTCTCGCCCCAGCTCTCGATCCTGCTTTTTCACCGAGATCGACGCCTGCGACGCTCTTATATTTTGTTTTGGGCAACCCGGAGAAGACGTGCGCCTAACCGCATGTTTCCCACCATCAGAAAAAAGCGCCGTAAGGATATTCCTAGGCCTCTGTGCCTACTACAGGCTCTTCGCTTCAGATATTGTGAAGCTTTCTGCACCTCTCATATAGCTTACAAAAGACGCCGTAAAGTTTCAGGGGTCAGAAAAGCACCAGGGTATGTTCGATGAGCCTTAATGAAGACTTTAAACTCCTCCCTTCCTTGGCCATTTGAACCAGCATGCACAAAACAGAAATTCATATGGACGCAAGTAACACGGAACTTGGCGCGGTTCTGGTCCAAACACAGGAGAGAACAAAGCGGGAAATCGCCTCTGCAAGCCGGACTCTGTCCAAGGCAGAGGGTAAATACACAACGGCAGAAAAAAAATGACTCGCAGATGTCTGGGCCATCACCATGATTCGCCCGTACTTGTACGGAAGTTTGTTCCGAGTGGTTACGGAGCACCGCTCGCTTTCCTGGCTCGCGAATCTGAAGAACCGCTCAGGACGCCTCGCCCGGTGGAGTCTACCACTGCAGGAGTTTGACATAACCTTGATGTACAAGTCCGGCCGAAAGCACAGTGACGCCGATCGTCTTTGTTTTCAAGGCCGGTCCCGCCTGCACTGATGAGGTTGAAGGCGAGTCCTCAGTGGACTAGAAGTCCGTGACATGAAAGCATTATAAAGATATGATCCTGAACTGCGAGATCTCATCGAGCACCTAGAGGAACAAGGAAGTGAGGTTCCCCGCGTTTTCATAAAAACACAGCCAACCTTCTCAATCCGAGAAGGTGTGCTACATAAGGAGAACTACAGCGATAATAACATAGCGTGGCTGTTGTTGATCTCTTCCATTCTTCGAGAAGAGATATTTCAAGTCTGCCACGATAACGCGACTGCAGGACACCTTGGCTACAGGTGGCCTTTTGCCAGGATTTGTGAGAGGTACTACTGGAACAAGCTTGCGAAGAAACTCCATCACTATACCCGATCTTGCCACGAGTGTCAACGACGGAAGGAACAGCCGACGAGACCGGCACTTCTTCAGCCTATTGCACCGCATACCCAATTTCAGCAAATCTGAATGGCTTTATATAGACTTTTCCCACCATCGACGGAAGGAAACCGATGGATGATTGTCGCGACCGATTATCTTACACGGTACGCCGAGACTAAAGCCTTTCCATCGTGTACGGCTGTTGAAGCCGCAAAGTTTTTCATCGCGTCCATCGTTCTCCGGCAGGGCGTCCCCGAAGTCTTTATTGCAGACCATGGCTCATCGTTCATGGCCTAACCGACGCTGAGATCCTTCGTCTCAGTTGCAACGGAAGCATGAAACAAATATAGTCAATAGCTGTCAATGCGGTAGAGCAGTGGTTCTCAACCATCGATGTTTCGCGGACCCCTTGAGGATAGGGGGAGATGATTGAAGGTACCGTTCGTGTTGAGAGGAGAGGAAAGGTAGAGGTTAAGTATAATATTGGTTTAATAAATGAATATAACTATAGGGCTAGTATAAAGTAAACCTCTTTTACTGATACACACACGAGAAAACTCGCCCGAAAACTGAAACATTAATTCTCGACTTGAATAAAAACAACTTTTATAGCCGGGCCCGACTGATGAGGTAGGGCTTCGCGGACACCTAGAATGCCTTTGCAGACCTCAAAGGGCCCGCGGAACACCAGTTGAAAACCACTGCAGTAGAATACAAACATATACCATAGATGGCATACTCATTCATAAATGATAATTATTACGTATAGTTAACCCTTATTAGGGAGGTTTACGAAACGTGGCACTGGAAACCGAGCCCCATGGTCCATAACGTGTATAGCCCGGCGCCTTTTGTTGGCGCAACAATAATTATCTGATGCATCTAGACAGCGTGTGACTCAGGGGAACCTACGGCGGCAGGCGACCGACGGCGCACGTAGCTGGCTGCCGAATAAGGAGGTGTAACCACGTAACCACCTTACGACGTCACAGGGCGCTATGATACCATACCAACGGAACCCACAGTGATTCAAGAGCAGGAAGAACTCTTAGCGCTACATTCACCATCGGAAAAAGCAGTACCTATTTAAACTCGTTATTAAAGCCCCCCATATTCCCCCCACACGCTCCACTCTTTAATAAATTTAAACCGGTCGTGACCCTTTTGATAAACACAATGAGTTCGTGAGTGTATCATGCTTGCAACGCCTCCTACATTATTTAAAACCGCCCCTAACCAAGCATAAGTACTTACAAAGCATGCAGAATGCACCCATGACACATTATGTGCTCCTAAAATATGTCAAATTAGTCAAGAACGTTTTTTTTTTCCTTCTCAAGCTTTCAAGCGAAGACAGTTGACTTTCCCTAATTAGAGGGAATATAGTTTTCGTTACGTAACATTGTATTGTCATCTTCATATTATATTCGAGTGTTCCGTCGTTTTTTCTTCACTTGGGGTTCCACAAGGCAAACATTAGTATAAACATCTCGAGAAGGCGAAGAGCTACCTTTATCGTCAATCATACACGCTTATTTTAATTCCCCAAAACTCATCTGCTCTACAGCGTCGGTGAACGAGAAATGTAGTTATTGCGCAGGAGCGCATGCGAAAAAGGATGTGACTGTACGCTCTTTAAAAAATGTTACCCAGTTTTGCTTCATCAACAGCTCAACCCTGGCGGCTCGCAACAGGGGTAATAACACTATCTTCATTTTCAGCATGGAGTAATGACGAAATTGTTTATACCGAATATTTTGTAACGACTCTATCATGAACTTCTTGAACGATATTAGTTCGGCCTCTGAGCAGATTTTAGAGCGCAGCTCTTAGGCGCCCGTTTCCGCGTATAGTGGCGTCGCCGTCGCCGTCGGCGTAACCGTCCTACTATATTTAGCGGGAAATTGAGTTGCTGTTGAGATCACGTGAGGTCGATTTTCCCGCTAAATCTAGCGCAGAAACTGAATTTGTTTACAAGTGACGTGACACGAAGTCATGTGGCGTAATTCTCGCTAAATTTAGCAGGGAAACTGAATAGGCGTTGAGATCACGTGGCGTCACTTTTCCAGCTAAATATAGCGGGGAAAGTGTGGGAGGAGGGGAGGGTAGGCGGAGGAGATGAGGAGGGGATGGTACGGAAGAGGAGGGGCATAGCTCTACTCTGCACCCTCCCCTCCTCCTCCACAAGAGCTGCGCACTAATTTGGCATTATCGAGATTTGTAATCGTCTCTCATTTTTTTATCTTTTCATAAAAAGACAACAACATGACCCATATATTTTTACAGATATATAGTTTCTGGTGTATGCCCCCATACCCTTTATACCAGAACCTTCAATTATATAACTGAACAAGCACTTAGACAACCAAATATCGACGACGAAAATAATATATGGAGAAAGGGAACAAGAGGGGCCAAGAACAATCAAATCTCCAAACACAGCTCGGTGACTGGTGCGTGACCAAAAGAATTCGTCTGGTCCGAGAATCGAACCCGGGATCGCTCCATTTCCAGTGTAGTGCTCTACAAACTGAGCTCACCAGGGGTTAGACGTCAGTAATGCAAACAGCTTTTATCAGCCGCCACCAGTCTAACACCAACAAGGGTGAAAGGCTTGCATTTTAAAGGTTATCATTATAATGCAATTGAATGTAAAGGTGCAAGCGAGCTGGACAAGAATGACGAAAATAATCCCCAGAGAAGGGGAAGAAGAGGGACAAAGGACAAACACAAATATCCAAACACAGCTAGGTGACTGGTGTATGACCGAAAAAATCCACCTTGTCCGGATATCGAACCCGGGACCTCTTTATTTCCAGTAGAGCGCTGTTTGTCTTTTGTCCCTCTTGTTTCCCTTCTCCGGGGATTATTTTCGTCACTGTTTTCCAACTCGCTTGCCCCTTTGCATTTATTTGCGTTATAACTATAACCTTAGAATGCAAGCCTCTCACCATTGTTCGTGTTAGACTGATGGCGGCTTATAAAACCTTTTTACCCAACTGACTTCTCACCCCTGGTTGGCTCAGATGGTAGAGCGCTCCACTTGAAATGGAGAGGTCCCGGGTTTCGATACCCAAACCAGGCTATTTTTTTTCGGTCCCGCACCAGTCATCTAGCTGTGTTTGGAAATTTGTGTTCGTCCCTTGTTCCCCTTGTTCCCTTTGTCCAGTGATTATTTTCGTCATTCTTGTCCAGATCGGTTGTAACTTTGCATTTAATTGCATTATAATTAAATATCAATGCATTATTTCACAAATTCTTACCTGATCAATTATACCTAGCCTTCTCACTTGGGTGTGGACGCTGTCTAATATCCAGTCAAAGTCATCAACAGCTTTTCGAGTGGTCATTGAATCAGGGCCATAGCCGTGACCTGTAATAAAATTGTGGTATTTATTTAACATATAAATAAGGCAACGCCATTCTGTGTCATATAAAAAAATATTTGTGATATCATTAGTGTTTTGTTTTTAAATGCTCACCTTGATTCAACGGGAATAAGATTTCGCCCTTTAGCCTGATCCCTTTTCTAACTGCATTTTCCGAAATCTCGGTTGAAGTTACACAGTTACCGATGGCTTAGCAATAAATACATCGTTACAAAAAAAAAAAGAAAAAGTACCACGCATGCTAACCTAAAATTAATATTTTATGTGGCGATCTTTATTCCTCCACCTAACACAAAAAACAGCCACAACAGCTCCTACGACCGCAAAAACGGGGCGGGTAACTGCCATGCCCAGCCGGCCACGGCCTTTACTTGCCCCTCGGCGTTCTACACCATGTAAACTAAAGCTTCTAAACCATTTTAGAGAGCCCGGAAAACTCGGTTTGTCAGCGTATCGCGTTAAAATTTACTCCAGAGGTGCAAGCGGGTGGTGGAGATTTACAGTAAAAAAATCAACGATGCCCTTTCCCTACCTCGTTCAAGAAAAAAAGAAAAGAAAAAAAACCTTTTTCGGGTAACCTACGCCACCAATTCACAAACGATTCACGCGCAGAAATAAGTGTTGCCAACAGATGGAGTACGCAGCGTCGAGGGAGACCGTCTGCTCTAAAGCAGAAGCGACCGGCGCTCCCTCGACGCCGCGTACGCCATCTGTCCGCGGTACTTCTCTCTCAGCGAACATCGCCTGCGATCTGGTGGCGTTAATTGCTCAGGAGAGGTGGTTCTTTTTTTTCTTTTCCTTTAACGAGGTAAGCATATTTTTTTTATTCAATGTAAACTTTCTGCACTTGCTTACACCTCAGTAGTACATTTCAGCGCGATACGTTAAAAACGGATTTATTTGGGCCGTCTAGAGTACCTTAGAACTGTTAGTTTAGATGCTGTAGAATCACTAACGATCACTGACAGGATGAAAATGATAAGGAGATATTTCACTCGTTCCACCTCGGCGCGAGCTTTCTACCTTCGATAATGACTAGTCGTCTTGTGAGCCCTGTGCCTCACATAAAGTTTGCTAAGGAAATAAAGCGAAATAAAATCTAATTAAATGTGCAGGCAAGGCATGGCGAAAGAGAACGAGCCCATGCTGGAGGCCTGGCGTTCGAAAGGGGGGCGTGCCGGTCTCATCTTGTCTGTGCCTGCGGAAGCATATCGCCTTCACTTTATGGTGGCTAATCGAGCGCGTTCTACACGCGTGACTCAAATGAATCATTGGTGCTTTGAAGGGACCACATGACCCACCGTCTTAACGTCTAGCGCTAACCTTTTGTACAGAGTTGGCCGAGTATGGTGCATGTTGTGCATGAATGTTTAAAAAAAATCAACTTTTTAAGCAAAAATTAAAAAAATAAAAGCCTGTTTTTGCTGTTTACGGTGCCCGTCCGCTAACTAGATGTTTCTAATTAGCATAACAACTGAGAAATGGAGTGACCTAAGAGTGAGGGCGCACAAACTCATTTCCTATAACACAATGCTTTTGAGTGAAATGCGGTAAGAGGTTTTTTTTGTTGGATTAAGTGATTCGCTTAGATTTTTTTTTAACTAGTAAAACATAGCATATAAGTACAAAAAGGCCAAAAAACGAAACGATTCATTGTCGAACGATTTTGGGCAGTTTGTTGAAAGCTGCTGCCATATCTCGCCTGTTGAGCCACTTAACGTGTTTTCTTCGCAGACCTCCGCCGTATATAGCGAATACACGCCCCTCATTTTTACTGTTTACTCAAGTGACGATTTTTTATATTTAAATACATAGAAACCATCAGCTTTGATGGTCATCCATGTACAAAATCTTAGCTTCATAGAGTAAGCAACTGATCTATGCGATTCTGTCCAAAGGGCAAATATCCATGTGTCGTGTGCATTTCGTTTCATATTTAGTCAGACCATATGCCAAAGGCTCGAAACATACAAGTGTAGACCAACAGGCTAAATACAAGGTCACAGCGCCGTCTTTTCACTTGATTTTTTAGTCGATCGGAGCAAAAACACCCAAAAAGTGGAAGACCGTAAGGTTAACGGAGAAGCCAATAAACAGACTCCTTCTTCTGACACATTTTTGTATTGATAAAAATAATAGCAACTGTCATTTAACAGGATAATCTGGATCGCAAAACTAGACTTGCTTTTATAGTTTTTATGAATTGTTAAAAACTATTCCTAAGAAGTAATATTCCTTACAATACTTAAGAAGTATGCTTCCTATGACTACGTAAGAAATATTCTTAAGAAGTTTTTTTGTTGCTGCCAATACATAAGAATTACTCTTCACAAGTATTCTTATTAAGAATACTTCTTTAGCAAGTGTTCTCAGGAAGAGAAAAAATGCCTAGTTGTGCCACATAGTATTGAAAATTTCAAGGAAACTCAACCGTGGGTCCTCAATTTAACCTCCTGTGAGTTGTTCAATCTTGGTTATAGCAGATATAGAAATCTCAGACAATAAACATTTGGGTGCAAAGTATGATACTAACTAGCCTGCACAACATCGCTCTGCTCTGACCCGTTTTATTTTCTACATTCATTTTTCTTTCCCGCGTACCATCCGACAACGCCATAATTCGAATTCGATTGGCAGCATTGCTTGACATTGCGTTTTGGTCCGAGTAATACAAACGTACCTATGAAAACAAATGAAGTTTAGATCCGTCTCATACGTTCAAAGACATCACCATTCTCGGGAGTTTTAATATTCGTCAATATAGTGATCAAAACTTCAAGATATTGAAAAGGTGGCCCGTAGAACACAATGAAAAAAAAATATGTTGGAACCAGTAAAAGTAAAGTACATGTTTCTAGACCCTGTGTCACAAAGCAAATAAAATAACGGTCATGATAATATAAAAAAGAAAGCCGTTTACAACTTCGTGTGACGGCAAATTAGAGCGCAGCTCTTGAGGAGGAGAAGGGAAGGGTACTGAGGGGAAGGTATACCCCTCCTCCCTCCTACCCACGTCCTCATCCTGTCTGCTACTCCTCCCTTCGAGCGGAGTCGCCGTCGCCTCACGTGGATCACGTGACCTCACGGGGTTCATGTGACGTCACCGAGGTCAAGTGACCTCGCGGGGTCATGTGACCCCTAGAGGTCACGTGACGATGACGTCTACAGTGACGTCACTGATGACGTCACCATCACTAGTGACGTCATCTTTGACGATGACGAGGGCAATGCGAATGCCGATGACGTCATCAGTGACGTCACTGATGACGCCATCAGTGACGAAGACGATGCGTATGCCAATGACGTCATCAGTGACGTCACTGATGACGTCATCAGTGACGTCACGCGTCCCATAATGCACCGCGCGGTTACGCTGACGGCGACGCCGACGCCGCTCAAGCCGGAAACGGGCGCCTAAGAGCTGCGCTCTAAAATGTAACGGCAGCTGGGTTTACTCGCTTGGAAACAGCAATATAGTATAGCCGTCCTCAAGGAGATGAAGAAGGGGAACACAAAAATGCATACGGACAGAACGTTGGGGGAACTGAGCCAGACTGCCTGATCCCTACGCAGACACCACACCACCAGCAGACAGACACCAACCGCCAAGCTATACCCAAAAAGATGATCGCCATCAAGGCTATGTTAACTGAGCCACCTTCTTTAGACAAGATTGAGGTTTCTTCCCATGATAGGACGGAGGCTTGGGCGAGTTGTTTGTTCACACTTGGGTTAAAGAGCGCACAAGATTTACACACAGAAAATAGGCACACAAAGAAACACACATAACGGCGATTTTGCCAGTATTCCCATAATGGCGAGCAAGCATTGCATTCAGAAATTTGTTTGGCGAATTCTGATTGTGGAAAGATATTTTTCACACTTCCCATGTGCTCTAAGACGCGATTGTTTACGCAACGACAGTCTGGTCCACGCAGCAGAGCCCACAATTGAACTGAAATTTGCGCTCAACTTTCTTGGCGCAACTAATTGGAGGATTCCTATACCTCTTAACAGCCCTGTTTTGAATCAAACGCCAACGGTGCACAACTAACTTACCGGAAATTTGTCTTAAACGCAGATTTACTTGGAATTTGTGAGCCAAAGCTAATTTGCGAAAATCGGTGAAATTGCGGAATTACAAAAACATTTCTTTTCGGCGTACCCACAGAGCCCTTCGGCGTTTCTACAATTCGTCTGCGCAAAATTAATCCTCCGTGTCTCAGGGTTTAGATTATAACCTTTTGTAAGCAACTCGCTTGCACACATTTGCTTATTACGTTTCTGAGGTTATACTTGGCACTTATTATTATTGTAGTCTTGCCGTATATAGTCATTTAGCTGAATATTAAAATTCCTCTATATTGGTTTACCTGAAATTAAATTATTTTATTGTGTTTTGCCTGGAACAGCCGAGTGGAGGCACCAGGGGAGAATGTTCAAGCGGATGTTGTCTATACAAGGGAAGTTTGCAGTATTTTTGATATTTGTATCTTATCAAGTAAAAAGTAAAAAAAAAGAATGGCATGACGCGTACGAGCTCACAGTATCGTCGTCTTATACATCATCTTGTACAAGGGAGCGAATAATACTGAACGGGCTCGAAACCATCGGATTTACATGTGCGTCGCGTTTTGTCCCTCATTTGGTACCACAAAATGGCAACTTTTAAGCTCAATTGAAACAAGTATTTTGAGGACAGGTACGATTATACACTACTATTAATTCAACACTCGGTTTTTTGTGACTCTGTTCAAACTCTTATTATGTTCTCTGGAGGAATGAACCTGGTACGCGCCCGGTTTTACCCTCTCAAAGCGTCTATACGCGTTCGTGCCCATATGTGGACCATACTCCACAAACCCGCCACTATAACAGAAAAAAAAATAGTGCGTTTATTTTTTTAGCAGACCAATCGTGAGAACAGATCACAGCAATCTTCGGGGTAAGCTCGCCAAATGAGAAAGCCAATAAAAAAAAACGCAAAGCGTGAATTACGTTTATGGTTATCGCCTCGTGATTGCATCTTTTGCGCTCTTATTGGCTAATGCCGCGACCTAATTGGCTGTGGATTCCGATAATGCAATTCTGAGGACTTGCCAAGCCCAGCATTTCGTGATCTGCCATTGATAACATAGGGCGTAATTATACCGCGTCGACCCACCTTTACTGTCGGGTCCCTCGTAGTAGAACATTGCCATGTCGAGGAAACCCTTCTTCATAGCTACGAGTGATTTTTCGACGAGGTCTTTCATTTCCGAGTTTACTCTGCTCCAGGTACCCTTGTACCCGGTGCAGACGTTTGGCCTGGTCCCGTTGAAGTCCACCTGGCAGCCGTCCCACCAGTGCATGGCAACGGTCTTGTTCCGTCGTAGAGCGGTGACCCAGAGGGGCTCCGCTTGGTTCCACCAGTGCGGCTCCATGCTCTCGCTCGACGACATAGTAAAGTAGGCATCGCGCTGCGGGTCGTACATGTAGTTGCCAACGATACCGTGGTCTTCAGTGTAGAGACCTAGAAGTGGCGATTGAAATATAATGAAATATTCACGTTTTTCTTCTTTTTTTTTCAATGAACCCAAAGATACCAGAACGTTGCACAACCAATTCTCGATAATGTGAGTTGCCCACATTAAAAAAACAAAAATGAATGCATTTCCCAAATTCATTCACTCAATCTTTGTTTATACTGCGGGATGTCCCGATCGATGTGGTCAATATTAACTAGGCACGATTATATCACGCACTGAAAGTATATGCATATTGTGCTGGAGGTACCGCTCTGTGGTTGAAATGAAATAGCAGAATATTTTAATGGTTTATTGGTGAGCTGTCGCCGATATAGTATCGCGCCGTCTCACTAAATGGCACCATTACTCTGCTGCGCAAGGCGTGCTAGAACTGCTTGGGGTAATGCCCATGTGCACGCTCAGCCTGGTCACAAAGTGTTTATGAATGGTTTTCTTTCGCCGTTTACTGAACACAAATTCACCGAATGAAAGACACTACTTTCAAAGCATTCTTTACTGAATAAACGTTTAACTAAGTTTGACACTTTGTACCCCTGTAACATTTTTAAAGCGACAGCTTTACGGGCGACACTTTGCAGAGATTTCGACCTTCTTCTCTGCGCTGTAGGCGCAAGGCCAGGGAAGTCGGGTTTTTCCATCGGCCGCGACGAACGGAAAGAGAAGAGCGGGGAGCCCCGGCATTTCACCAGTAAAGACGCGACGAAGGGAGAAGTATTCCTGTCATGTGCTTGATATACTTGTATTCAAAAATTATTCGCGTTGTGTGAAATCCTACGTTGGCAGAATCTAGTTGCTACGCGTAATGTTGGATGGTTTTAGGAAGTTTCACCGCAATTACCCAGTTATTTCGGAGATCACCGAGCACTCCTGGCTGTCGTCAGTGGAATCCACGACGTCAACCGGGACGGCTATGAGAATTAACCGACTGCGTTACAGCTATCGCATTCGTTTCTTCACTCGTTGTGATCGACAAATACGACTTTTCCTTTCTCTTCCACTGTGGTTGTTTCCTAGGTTTCACGCCCCAGTCGCGGGCAATTCAGCAAGATGGTAGGGATAGTCACCTTGCGATTAACGGTATTTATTCATTCGTACCGGAATGTGGTGGTGGGGAATCAGTGGAAGCAAGCACCCTATGTTTTTTTCCTCGTTTTGATGTACAAAACGGTGCGCAACAGTAAACTATCGCTTTAGCTTCTAGATGTTCGCTTACATAAGTCGGACATGATTAAAACCATAAAGATATTACGTACTACTCCAGAAAATGCTTACAGCCCATGGGGACACAGCTCGCGCTTCAATCAAGCAGGGCTGCGGACGCCCTCGCGGAAAGCAAAACCAGAACCACGAGCAGAACAGCTGAGATAAACCACCACCTCATGGCAGGAATGTAAACCAGTACAGACTTTAGGCGGGTGCTGTTGCACTCGCGTTTGACGCGGTCATGAGGATAGAGGAGGTCGTGGTACCTTCATGCAGCTTAAGAAAAGACGCGCAAAAGACAAGAACAAAAACACTATTTCATATTTTATAACTCACGCCTTTTTGAGGGCAAAAAAAAACGACGTTCGAAACGGCAGGAGCGTGGACAATCTAGCACCACTATATATAAAAGCTTCAGATGCAATATGCAGTGACTCTAGGAAAACCGAGAAACGAGCGAAACCGATTGAATGGGACCCATAAGGCGGCCCTCTTCGCACCAGAACCGTCGCCGGCCCAATAAGATGGTTCCGCCCTTGGTTTCGGAAATCCGCCATCTTAAATTTAGTGCTACTGCTAAGCGTCAGGCTATTGAATTGGCGTTGCGGACGGCGATTTCCATCCTCTGGGCGATTTAGGAAGATTCACCCCTCTGGTCCCGTCGAGGTTTGATAAACCTTTCAATATCGCTCGTGAGTTCATGGAACGGGGACACGTGATTCGGTCTATTAACTTGGAAACCATATATTAGAAAAAATATTGTACGGCAATTTTCTTTTCGCTTGTTTATGTCTTTTGTGTGGTATAGGAGTGTAAGCGAAACCCTCCAAAGGCCGTCCTTTTACTTCGGGCCTTTCCCCGATGTTTACTCAAGACTCCGAATCGACGAGATTCCTTGGGTCATAATTATTTCTGTGAAAGGACGCATGACCTCCGGTTTACGTGTTTGCGGACTAGCGATTATGAGAGCCACGGCCCGCGTCAGCTTCAAGTGTGAGAGCCGAGCTCCAGCTACCGCCTGGAGGAAGGCAACCTGGAGGATCAAATTACTGACGGCGACGGCGGGAACTGGTGAAGCTGCGGAGTTCAGAAAAAAAAATCGAGTCTGGTGTGTGCGCCCGCGGGAGGCATGCGGCCCCGGAGAGTGTCTTTCCTTGTATTCCTGTGTTAGGCGTCCTGAATTGTATAATCGCCTAAACGACATGAAACAGCTTCGTATTATTACTAAATCGAACTGGTATTATTCGTCGTCCAAGAAGGGAAGGCGTCTACGACATTAACATTAGAAGTAGGATGGCTTAGATAATAACCACGCCCTGAACAGACAAAGAAGGAGGTCGGCGAGCGGACCCAACAGTGCGGCATACGTGAGTATGTCAAGAAATTAAGACCGAGAGATCATCTTCATCGTGCCGATCCTCAAGTATATACGTATGTTTATATGTATATTTTATTTCGGACACAAGAGGGTCTGGGGGAGCGAATCCCACTGTGGGGTGTAAGGGAACTCGGCAAAAAAGAAGACCAAGTGATCGTCTTCACCGCGCGGAGCTTTATGTCTGCGAGTGAACCCGACAGTCCGAAATGGTTTGAGTGCGTTAAAAAAGAAGACATAGAGATCGTCTTCGCCCTGCGATATCTGAAGTAAGATAAACAAACTGTGCAACTTTTGTAACTCTAATATGCGAAAGTTATGTTTGTACACTGTGAGCGAACTTCCATGAACTGTGCAACTTTCTTGGAGCGTTGAGCGAAGTTCGATGTAGGGCGATCTTAGTTTTACTTTATGATCTTAAGTGTGTTCTGTGACTAACCGTGAATACTTAGTGTGACCTTTGAACTCCTGTGCGATGACATTTGATAGATCTAAACAATATTTTATTACCTTTTGAGCTTATCACGGAAACTCTTGAGGCTATATTCTTTACTGTGAGCGTGTTGTAAGATTAGTTTATTTCTACAAAAGAGCGAAGCACGAGAATAAAGAAAGAAGCGTGGGAGAAGCAACTCTGAGTGTCAGAACATTATCATTGCTAGAGACGGCGGACGGAAATGACGTAGATGCAGATAACTGGGATTCGAAAGGGTCTTCCGTAAAATAACTGCTAAAGGCACTAGTTGAAAAAGGTCGCCTAATCACCGGACTGCTCCAACGACAGGCAGAACAAACAGCAGGTCCTAATGAAATTCCAACTTTCCAAGTGATGCTCAATATTAGCAAAGGAATTTAAAACTTTGATAGAGAAGGAGGCACATCAAGTATTAGAGATTGATTGAAAATCTAAAAAAGCACTGCAACCTTCCACAGGTAATCACAAGCGGTACAATTCAAAAGCTCAAAAGGTCACATGGTTGGCGCGGTACGCAACTAGTGGAGTACGCGCCGTTCTGATATCAAACATGGCCGGACTTTGGGCAATATTTCAGACGAACCTTTCTTGGTCGTACACAAGCTGCCGAACGTTGACGACGATTAGAGTAGCGAGTGCAACGATGGAGGGATTCAACGGTGGCGTATCTTCTCGCTAAATATCAGCTGTGCCCAGGGGCTAACCTGCATTTTTGTGACGAAAGAGAACAAATCGTGGTCGGCCTGCGCTCACTTCAGCATTGCGCAATGTAAATGGGCCGGTTTCACGACGACCTCGGTGATTTACTCCACGATATCATCACGTTTTAACGCATAGTGAACGAGCGTCAACGAAAGAACGAAGTCCGATCAGATCAAAAAGAAACGAGTCCGCAATCAGAAGGCAAAAGGTCTGAGATGCAAGGTCATGGAGACCGAGCGACCCAGAGCGCTGGAAAGGACAATCGGACACAATTAAAGAACCAAAAGGAAGAGCTAAAGTAAAACACATATTGTTCCAAATTTACGCGCATCGCTCGAGATTGCCCCCAACCTTGACGGCCGATGAAATGTCTACGGTGTAGGTGAGATGGACAAAGACAGCGGTATTGAAGATAAGCAGTGCCGAAGGTTGAATCGAACACGGCCGTTGTGTACCGAACAATAAGTCGCAGTGCACCTCAAGTGAGCGTTGAGGGATAGGACCACCTTACTCGTCGCAATGATTGACACGGGCAGCTCCAGTTCTCTGCTTCAACCGTCGGTAGCTGCAAAATGCGGTCTCGCGATTTTAAAAGATTCAGTTGCGCTTTAAGGTTTGGAAAAAAGAAATGTTAATGTGTCTAGGGCGATGAGACGTTGTGTAGTCAACCTCGTTATTGATGGCGTGACGGGCAGCGATATTGACGCTGTTGTAGTACTGGATGACCCCCAACCAGTGAGACTGATTGTCGGAAGGACGTTTACTCAACTGCCTCACTTGTCATGCGCACGAGTAAAAAGTGGACTCGTATTTGGGCACTTGGGCACCGGAACGAAGAGAATTTCCAAAATCTGGAGCTAGAGGCAACAGAACAACGTCTTTAACTCCGTACGAAGAAATATGCCTTAGTTAACTGGATTATCCTCGAGGCAAAGAGTGACAAGAGTGGTCCAGCGATTTCGAGTGGACACAGTCAAGACATGTTCGTCTAACTGATTTATGGAGAAGTAAGGGTTCCAGTGACCAGTATGACTGGCGGCGATATAAATCTGAAGAAAAGAAAGAACATGGGGAGAGCCGAACCGGTGCAAGTGGTGAAACCTGAAAGAGTAGCCGCCCCAAATGAGAATCTTAGCGCTCAATTGGGGATTAGAAACGTCCTGTCCGTGGCAGCGTAAAAGCTATTGAGAAAGGAGGATGTCAGGATTGAACCAACGGTCAAAGTGGAT